CTGGCTCTGAAATACAAGAAAGTGTACAAAGCACGACCAGCATTTGAAGTGGTTCTGAAATATTTGGAGTGTTCTTTACACTTGCAAGATTAATAAGAGATTTTGTATGTCTCGGTATAGTTCGTGAATTTTTTGTAAAGTTATGAAGAATTTGACTTTTTTACAGCATAGCATGCTGTTCAGTATTCCTGTTTTTCATGTTCACATTTCTTGTCACTAGATTTTTAATTCTGGAAATGTAATACACTTAAAATGGTACCTGTCAGTTTGTACTACATACAAAGGATTCCTGGCATATAGATTTTGTTATCACAGATCTCGCTGTAGACTGTAAACAGTTTTGAGCCAATAAAATTAATTTGAGTACGTGTTCTTTCCAGTATTTATTTATACTGTTTATTTCCAGTGTATTCCAAGGGGAGTGCAGAAATGGTTTTGCGGCAGGCATCAATTCCTGCCTAACAGTGTGTGGGTATACGACATTCCCAGAACCAGTGGAAGTTTCAGACTCAAAGTGAGGCTGGAAACAACTCTACAATAAATCTTTAAATACAACTGTTATTACTGCTATGACTGCAGATCACAGAATAACACACGTTGGAAGAGACCTCTGGAGGATGCCTAGTCCAACTCAGGTTGCTTCCAGGATCTAGAGAAATGTGAGAACCTAAAACTAAAAGAATATTATTGGTTTAAAACTTGAGGGAGTTGCCCCCCAGCTTCTTCTTCCTGTCCTTGTGCACAGGCAGCTGATTTGCAGCTTCTGAACTAGAAGATATTTTTCACATACAGGAATTGGGCAGGATGATTTGGGCTGAATTGGGGGAAAAAGCATTGTGTAAATTTCTTTTTCATTCAGTCATCTGTCATGTGAGTCCTGGAACACAGAAGATCTGTAGAAATTCCTGACTCCAGTTGCTCGACAGCTATGAAAAACCTCATGATTCCTCAAATGGAATTTTTCTACAGAGCAAACAGCACAAGATTACCTTGGCTATTGCAATATTGCACAATTAATTGCACAATGAAGGTATGTTCTTTGTACAGACTTTGTCATTTCAGAATAATAGAGGGTAATATATTAATCTGTGTTATTTTTTAAATATTTTCCCAGCTGTTTGTCTAATTCTTAAGTCATTCTTTGTGGTTTTGGTTTGATTGAATAATTACATGCGAACTGTATATTCAGCATTAAAATGCTACCTGTCCACTTTTTAAAATCTAAAACTCCAAAGCTAATCACTGAGAAATGCTGGATAAAGCTATAAATGCAAAAGTGTTTGGATTTGTGAGGTTATGAATTAGGAATCTGTTATTTGTTCCCAAAAATACCACAAAGAACTTAGAATAATTTATGAATTATATCCCTGTAAGCAGGTGACATTAAATAGCTTTTATGTTAAATACTTGCTTTTAAATATATGCTTTTAGAGTATGAATTATGTAAGAAATCATTATTTAAAGCAAAACTGACCAGGCAGTTTACAACTTAGATGGGCATATTTTTTTCCAGTGGATTTTTTTTTGGTTGTTGAATCAGAAACATGAAGGACAATTCATGGTGCTGTGGATTGAAATTATGTGGAGGAGAAGTATTTTTTTAAGGCTACAATGAATATTTCAGATGTTTCAAGGTTTTTACTAGTAATTTAAAAATGCATTTACAAAAAATATTTTGTACATATAGTTTGCATATATATTTAAGAGCAAAACATTGTATTAAAAAGTAAAAATATTTTTGTTTTAAACGATTATGAAACCAGTTTTTTACCCCGAGTTTGGAAATAAACTCTTGCATCCTCTCGCTATTAGTTAACGTTTTACGTATTTGTCTGTGTTCTTGTTTGACATAAAAGCCTGAAATCAATAGGCCAGCTAGAGAACATGTTACTGTTTACTCATAAAACTCAGTAACTTCTCTTGTCATTTAGGCTTCTCAAGAGCTTCTTTTCACAGTTCAGAACTGCAATATTTGGAGCCAGGTCTCTGAAAAACGAAATAACCCCAAACCCTTGTGTGAACTGCCGAGGTCCTAAGTTTCCCCAAAACTTGCTCGCCTCACTACTGTGCTGGACCAGACATCCCAGCTGCCTCCTGACACAGCTGCCAGGGTGCTGTGTAGTCAGCACTATTTGTCTTCTAATAATGACGTCAGTTTGTCAGCTATTGTGCCAGACAGAGAACTTGTGTACACTTGCTCTCCTTGAGTGAGCTGATCCTTTTCCAGCAGTAGCTGATCAAGGTTTTGCTGTCCAGCATAACATGAAGTCACAATGAACCCAATAAAAGTTCACTGAATACTATGAAATTGACACTTTTTCTGTGGTTTTTTTTTTTTAAATGTCTTGTTTTTCCCCTTGCAATAAATACATCTCTGTTTTTGTGTTAATTATGCAAATTGACATTCATCTGCAGGGGTTTGTGGCAGTTGAAGGGTCAGATTATCTGTCAAATGCTAGAAGCCAGCGTCGCTTCTGGAAGTCATGGTTTTGAAAGTTTTGTTTTAGAAACAAAACTCTAATGTGGCCTATACTATTTCTCTTCATCTGCAATAGCATAATAAACCCTGGCCTGCAACAAAAATTTCTGGCTTATGCATTCTTACCACTTTTATATACTTCCCATCAAGCACAATCTAAAGCTCTGTGTGGCAAGGCTTCCAGCACTGTTGTCCTCTGATCTCATGGGAGCTGCTATTTTTGGCCCTTCTGGTCAGAATGGGACTTCCATGAACTGAAAGCTACAATATCTGATACTTACTCCCAGTGCTCTGAGCTGATACCAGCACCAGCTTGTCTAGTTTCTGTCTTTCACGGACTACTAAGAGTTGGAAGGGACTCTTGAGAATCATCTCGTCCAACTCTGGCCTTGCACAGGACATCCCTGACGCTCATACCATGTGCACAAGAGCGTTGTCCAAATGCCTCTTGAACTCTGTCAGGCTTGGTGCTCTTTTGTGTTCTAGCTCTTTGTGTCAAAGGTTTGAATCACATTTTTAACTCCAAAGTTTTAATTCACTTTGTGGTTTGTGCCACACGGTTAGGATTCGAGACTAATCCTGCTCGGATGTTGAAGCACTTCCAGGGTTCCTGACCTGAATCACCAACCTACACTATTTCTGACTGCTTCCACTACCCCTTCCTACCTAGGATACCATTTCCCCAGCAGATTCAAGTTGTGTGTAGACACATTTATGTTACTGAGCATTTCAGTAGAATCTTCTATTTAATTACAGCTAATATTAATAATTAGAAGTAACATAGTTATTCTGGGTGTTGTGGTCCGAGACATACTTTAAAAATACCTTGGTGTTTTGAAAAGAACATATCCAGCCTGTAATATCTGTGAAGTTTGCTATTATCTCTTCAGAGCCAAAGAGGTTTCTGGTGTCTGAAAGCAAGTTTGGTGTGTTTTTCTTAAACTAAAGCCATTATTGAAATCAAGGTTATCTTTGGTCTAAAACCACTGTCTCTGTTTACAATGTTTTAAACAAAGTAATTTCCATAAGATGAAAATCTGTTAACTGCCGGATCAGGCTGTGATCTGTAAATTCATTTTATGGTTCTAAGAATCACCTGGCTTGACAGAAAAGAAACAAATTCAAGTAGTTGGTATTTCTTCAGTGAAATTTGTAACTGAAAATGGTATGTTATGTTAAGTCTCAGTATTCACAAAATAACAGGCACCAATGCTTTAATTTCTGAAAAAAACCCATGGATTTGGTGCACAGATGATTACTGTTGATGACAAGCCTGGTGAACATGCACCAGGACAACACTGGGCCAGCATTACAGGTAACACTGGGCAGACTAATGTGTTCAAGGGCTGTGCTTTATACAGCTACAAATGAGAATCAAAAATCTTGTCCAAGATACTTGAAAATTACTCAACTCTGTAATGCTCATATGCTTTCAGACACACTTCATGTCTTGTTTTGTCAAAATTGATTTACTGCTACTGTCTTTAAAGTAATTCCTGAAAACTGTAGGGCAGAATGTCTCCCTAAAACAATCAGAAGAAATTGGATGAGCTCAAGTCTTTCAGTTACAACAGTTTAATTGTACTACCCCTATGTTTCCACTGAACATACCCCAAGCTGTCTGTAGAAGGAATGGTTTCATATTCAGGGATATTAGTCTGGGATTTGGCAGACCTCAAGGAAAGTCTCGAGACCTCAAGGCAAGTCCAATGCTATTCATTATGTGAAATAAATTAAGTTTCACAGCGCTCTTATTTTTATTCTCTTCCTATGAAATCCAACCAGCACTTTGCCTGCCACAGGCTGTCTGGGTGCACAACATGCAGGTAGGGAAGGCAGGGATCCTCCTCCGTTCTGCACAAAGTATGGGAACATCTGGGTGGTGTAAAACCACCTCTTTCAAGACGAAATATCCCCTGCAATTCTAACTGTGGACAGGTATTTTTAATTTATCACGTGTTCTCTCAGACTGCTTTGGGAACAGGTGCCCCAGCCCTGCACCAGAAACCGCCTGGGGGAAAAGAGTGCGAAAGTGCAGTAGGACACAGGGGAGAGACAACTGGGGGCAGCTAACC